GATCTGGCCCTTCCTACATCCAGGACATGGTTAAACTGTACAACCCAGCACGTGCACTTCACTCTGCATCAGCCAAACGGCTCGCTGCACCCTCGCTGCGAGGGGGACCAAAGTTCCCATCAGCAAAAACATGTGGGTTTGCTATCCTGGCTCCAAAATGGTGGAATGAGCTCCCCATTGAAATCAGGACAGCAGATAGCTTGCACATCTTCCGGCACAGACTGAAAACTCATCTCTTTTGACTCCACTTCGAGCGATAGAATTACTAACAAAGAACTGCTAGCAGAGCACTTATATACTAATAAAGGACTGGCTTATCTAAAGCCAGTTGAGTAGCACTTGAAATGTTTTAGCTCCATGAAACCTGATGTACTTACTGTATATGATTCTGTTTTCTTCAAGGTTGTATCTTCCTGGTCGAATGTACTTATTGTAAGTTGCTTTGGATAAAAGCATCAGCTAAATGCAATGTAATGTAAGTGGATAGAGAAATAACCACAGTGAATTGGGCTGGTGGCATTTTCACTTTTCTGGTCATCTAATGAATGTATTCATTCAAGTCACACAAAATATTTCTTGCTAGCTTTTTCTATTTCCGTTTTCCTTAATTATATCCCACTGTCTTTCAGTCTCTCTACTCCCACCTCCTCTGAAATAGTTAATCAGTGGGCTCATATCCAAGGAAATTACTACCATGTTCAAGATGCTTCGGTTCACATAACTTTATGTCTAAGCAAGGACCAAATGAGCGAATGAAATGAATCTATTGAACAATTTGTCCTTTTGGGCGCAGCAAGTATCATCTTTATTAGATTAAGCCGTAACACGGTATCTGCAGCAATTAGACCCTGGAGGGAGCCACTGCTGCAGAGGTTAATAACTGCAGTGTGTCTGCGTGGAGCTCGGTTATGATAGAAAGGTTAGCTGTATTAGTGACAGTGGCATTGGGCCAAGCTGCGGAGCGATTCAGGGCTGCGAGGCCAAGCTGAGTTCTGGGGCGGAATTATTCTCACTGGAGACTATGGGTGTGAAAATGATCACTTCCTACTGAGACTAATCACTCTAGGTGTCTGACCTGTGTGCTGTCCATAACTGACTGGTCTGCAGCACTGTCAAAGTGGGTTTTGTGGTGGTTTAGAGGGAATAAAATAATAACGGTCATTCTTGCTACTTTGGCCTTTTAAAAGAACATTTTAATCATCCTTAATTGTTTATATTTGATATACTATATTTCATTTTCATTTTATTTGTAATTGTTAACTCTGTTCCACTTTTTAAGTATTTTATTTTAATGTTGAACACACTGCTCCTGTAACAACACAATTTCTAAGTAGTTTTTAGCAGATTTCTTGATGATGAATGATGTGTATAAAGTTGACATAATGTGCAAACAGTTTTCTTTTTTAAACCTTATCTGTTCAGGACTACCGTCAGCAACATCCCATGTCTCAATTCGGGCTAATTCAACAGTCTAGATGTGCCAGAAAAGTCTCTAGATTTTGTTTTCTTGAAGGACATTGCTAGAAACAAGGTAACGTAATACAATTTGACTACCCTGAAATATTGACCCTTTCTTTATGCTGAAGCTGATTTGCCAATTTGCACGTCGCCCGAATATCAAATCATATGGGTCAAATTGTCCAATCAGGTTTTAGCGTGTACTTGGTCTTTGAACAGCCCAAGGTCAACTCTTAGGGCGTTACATTTGCATATTCTCGTTTCTAAAGTACGTTAGCTATACTTCTTTGACTAATGTTTGTTCTTGTGCAGATAAAATACATAACATTTATAAAGATGGTAAGCTCTAACTTTAACTGTTGCTTCCCGACCTAATATGGGAAGAAATGTACAAATGTGACCTGCTCCATCGAAATCAGTCGCATTGACCCGAAAACACATTTTGAGTTGTATACACTGTTGGAAAGAGGAGACTGCTAGCTTTCTAATGATATCAGGATTTTTCATGGGAGCCTGCCTGCAGGCAGCAGTCTCAGGACACCTGCACTCTGAGGACACCTCCACTCTCAAGACAGGAAGTGCACGCTAAGAATTCCAAAATAAAATCGTCACTATCAGTACAGCGCCACTTTCCAAACAGGAAATGCACGCAAATACAAAATAAAATCGTACTGACACTTATTATATATATATCTATATATATATATTTATTTATATATATAAATACGACATCTTGTATTTTAGTTACACCCGCTAGACAACAGTGGAGGGTTCGAGAAACAACCGTGTTTGCCGGGTGCACCGCGGCAGTTTTATATATAATACAGGAAAGTCAAAGTGTCTTTGTGTTTAACCCAATAAATGTATATAACAAATGTACTAAACAACACGTTATTTTGTTGGGCTCCCCTGTGTGCTATTTCCTTTTCAAGTTTAAGTTCGAGACTAGCATTGTTGGTACGCCCTGTAAGCACTCCGTAGAATTCGGTAGCATAATTGGCGGCCACCTAAAAGAATACCGAGGCCGTCGTTGAAGCACTCGCCACCGTTTTAGAAACCGTACAGTTTTTTAACGGCTTCCAAGGTAAAGCACAACTTAAGAACCACAGTTAAAACGGGAAGCATTCCGGTAGCACTCTCCGTAGCACAAAGAGCCCACGGTAGCCAGTAAAGCGGGGCTAAAGTCTCAACCCCGCCTTACGGGCTACCGTGGCTTACTATTGTTCGTACGGGAGTGCTAAACTGTTCCTACGGGAGGCTCACGGAATGGGTTCAACGGCGAGTGTTTCAACGACGCCTCGGACTCTTTGAGGTGGCCGCCAGTATGCTACCGAATTCTACGGGAGTGCTTACCGGACTACAACAATGCTAGTCTCGGCTTAAACTTGTAAAGGAATTAGCACGACAGGTAGCCCCACAGTAAGCCCTGTCACACCTGGTCCCCGAAATTCACCTACAGTGAACATCAGTCGTGGATGTACTCAAGCTTCTACCTTTTATTAGCCCCAAACCTCCATATTTGTTTAATGACATTTCTGAGACATCTTGACTAAGATGAGAGATCACCTCCGATCGGAGATATCGTGATTGTTCGGACTAAGACTGGTTTGACAACCCAAGTTCAACGTAACACCCCATTACATGGTTAGGACAAAAACTGTTGTTTCTTTAACGTACCCTTCCTTCTTTTCAGTAGACAGACCAAGTAACAAAGCTATGAAATCTAGATACTCAGACTGTCCACAACACCCTGAAGGTAGTATTGTGTTTTATATCAAAAAATTAGGACCTACCTTTTTTCATAGGTTCCTCTTCTCCTGAAGTCTCCTTCGTTGTCTAGTTGTAGAGTCCTATTTCCCCGATCCTTTTCTCTTCGAAAACGACACGTTAACCCGAATCGTGAACCAATTAGGTTAAGTAACCTTTGAAATTTTGTGACCTAACTTTAGTATCGATGACCGGAAACTGAGACAAATAGGATTGACGTCTGTCCGAGACAAGCAAAACACTAATCATTAAATTCTACAACAACCGGTCAATTTGTTCCTGGGTTTTGTGTTCCCATCACTCCAGACCCTTTCTCTTATGTTAATTTACGTTAGAAAAATCCCTTACTTTCTACCCCCTTAAGTAAACGACATCTACAACGTCAACCCTATTAAGACCACCTCCCTCCGTTACCTTCGTAACTTCCTTAACCTGCTCCGTCTTCAACTAATCAATCACCGGTTCGGGTCGACCTTCCGTCCACCTTTACAATACGAGGGGCACCCCGTTTCTCTTCTTTCATTAACCCTTTTTCAGTCTTTGTTACATCGTTCCCTTTGTAAAATAGATCCTTAATTCCCAAGACTTACGTACATGGTGGTAGCCTCTCGACTCATAATACTTTGATCGCCCACTAATGTATCTACCGTTCACTACCGACTACCCGACCTCCATTCACTAATAGGCTAACGGCCGTCAACACACATCCTAGTCCTCGGTCCTTTCTTTGACAGGGTTTACCCTCACTAATCTTTACATCTACTACTCTTGTGGTCCTTTTTTGATCTAAATGTCCGCCTGTGATAAACAATACCGGGGTTAAAGTAAATGGATAAACACCGACGAGATAGCTTTAGTCAGCCTTTCAGCGGTTCCCGAGTAATGTTTTATTTGCACCTACAACGCATTTTTTTATCAAAAAGTCCAAAGCCCACAAAAACAACTAAAGTCTTACACTGTAAAAATAATAGGTTATAGGTGTGCTAATTTATGTAAAAACTTCGAACATTTTCCCTTCTACTGTCGAGAGTGAGGGGTGAGACGAGAAGGAGTCGCGCGGGGTAGGGAGGCCGACCTTTAATACTTACATTCCGCATAGCAATTAGTATCTATTGTCCCGTCCCAGGCAATGTCAAACAACAAGTAGACTAAAGTTTATTTGGTTTCAGAACCGAAAAGTCTTACAATTTGAACAAAGCCGTTTTAAAGTCTACTGTTTATGTTTGAAAACTTCGAAACAATGCCGTAATTAATCTTCGCCTCTTGCCTCAATTGCATTGCAGTGGCGGGTCCCGTATTGTTGTCGGCCACAAAGAGCACCTCACCAAAGGGCCCTTTGTTGTTATGTTTCAATTACGTTTTAAATATGTTTGGTGTGTGTGCATCATTATGTGTGTGGTGTTTGTGAGCGTTTCCAAGGGGGTTCTGTCATTAGGTTTGCTTTTATAGAAGAGAGGCATCATAAAATTATTAAACGGATTATTAGTTTAGTCTCGCTCCTAAGGTCTCTTCTCCTTGTGAAACTTCCGGAAAAAGAGTTTTACTACTGAGCCACTGATCAGTAATATATTACACTGATAATACAAATTATAAATCCTCATGTGTTTTTTAGTCTCTCCCCAGACGGACGTCAGGGACGTGAGAAGTCCTGTCAAGGCCACATCCGACGTGAGAGTCCTGTGGAGGTGACAGTCATGTCCTTCACTGCTAAGACTGGTTTGTGCAAAAGGGCGGCGGGCCTTTCTGAGCAACTACCTTCAAAAGTTTAGTGTTACCTCTGAGTAGTGCCTCCACTACTCAGGCAGGGTGGCACGTGAAACCCGGCCCGGAACCAGTTCGGGAAAACTGGGGGGGTCGGACCAAGAGCATTTTCAACTGCAGCGTAAAAAGCGAGTTTAATGTGTTACCTCCTTACATTGCCCTCAACTGTCTCCTCTGAGACGGGTGGAGTGCTCACGGATAAAAGCCTTGTGAAAAAAAGTTATAAAGGGACAAAAAAAAACCGATGAAAGTGGGCCAAAGATGGCCCCTTGTGACGGGTTAGAGCCCACCAGGGGGTACCGGACACAGGTCGGGAGGGGGTGAGTAGGTATATAATTGCCTGAAACTGGTAAAAACAACGTAAAAGAGGAGAGGAGAGAGACTAGCTTACGCTTTGCGCTGGGTGACGCCTCCCGGAAGGCGCGGCCGGGCCGGATCATGGCCACGAGACCCGCCAGCCAAGGAGGGTTGACGCCAAGGTGTGAGACTACCCCGCCTCCCACACGACGCCAACCCACCCCCTGAAGGGGGTGAGACGCACAGAGAAGGAAGGGCCCGGCCCGCGGCTATACTTCGCACTGGTTCTGCGGTGGGCAGACTGAGTCCCCAGGGTGCCCAGGGCGTCGCCTCACCTCCAAGGGGTCGACCTTGGANCCTTGCATCTTGGTAGACCTTTTAACTAGTTTACAGAGAGTCAAATCCACATATTGGGGATGGGCGTAAACATCTGCAGACACAGGAGATGTCTCTCACATCTGTGGAGCTTAGAAAGCCAGCGTTCTCACAGTCGTAAAACCCCCCCTGTGCCCACCAGGTCAGGCCATAATACCTAGTATCAACATACGACTGCATTAACACATTCCTTACGGAGATTAGAAGCAGGGATGGCCGTAAATGTCAACACACAGAATATGTTAAATGTCCCACCGTATAAAACGAGGCCTCGCCTCCTGACTGTCATCCTTTTCTCTTCAGCAAGCAAGACAACTGAGCAAAGCTAAGCGAGAAGTAGGAAAAACATGGACTCACCTCTGTTGGAGCAACGTCCCTGCCCTTCGTGCCAGGGCTTAATTGACGGCACCGTTCTCTTTTGTGGCATTTTAAAAGAAGTGAACTGCATCATTGTCTATTATGAGAGTTTGGAGTTGGAGTTTGGAATAACCGCAGTAGATTTAAATTCCACCTCCACCCATTGTTTTACTCATTCTCCCATCTGTTATTTGCGAGAATAATTTATTATATTATGTATGCTATCCATTAATTACCTGGGGAATTTCAGTACACTCTCCTTTAAGGTCAGTTTTGATCTTTACCTTTTCCTGAAATATCGTGGTCTGCTGCATGCTCTACAGTGTTCCTCAAATAGTCGCTAACTGTCTTCAGTTAGGGACTAGTCATCTAAATAAAATAAATGTAATTATATTTATTGACTAATGTTATCATGTGATACGAACCCAAAGCCTGTAGTATTTCTGTGAGTTTGTGATTGGTGTAAACTGAAGGAGTTTCAATACATTTGACGGAGACATACTCAATACATTTGAAGGAAATGTGCTGTAAACAATAGAGCAAATGCACTGCTCTGACCCATTGACGCACAGCAATAGAGGCAAGCAATACAGGGACTGCAGTTCCTCTTTTATGGTACAAAGCTCCACAGGGTCTAGCAGAATGGCTGCCCTCTGATCTGTTTCCTACCTCTCTGTTCCCTGAAAGCCTCTTTTGTTTCTCTCCTCTCAGCGTTTGGCTCTCTGCCCTGCCTGGCTCAGACTCGTCCTTCTAACATCAAATCCACTTCGTGCATCAACCTGTCCGTATCGGAGCCCGGTCCCCGGCAGCCGTCCCGCCCCCGCGTCCTGCTGAAGGCTCCCACTCTGGCCGAGATGGAGGAGATGAACATATCTGAGGTGAGGCCAGACAGAGATGGGAGGGGTCGCAGTAGCACATGCGTTGTTTCCCAGCTCTGGTGGGTTAGATGGAAAGGGAAAATATTTTTGAGATTAAGTCTATTTTTCCCCTCCAGTTGTTTAACATCAAAAATTGAAGAGGGGTTACTCCTGCACTCCCACAGACATTTGAGTTTCTTGGAGGCTGCTAAATAATGTATTTTAGATTTTGGCCAATTTCAGTTCAAAATAGATTAGGCGTTCAATGATTAGTCTCCCATACTTGAGAGCTGACAAATGTTTTGTAATTGTTTGGCTCGAAATAGACATTTTGAGAAGATTTAAAGAGGCCCTATTCTTCTTTTTGGGTGTTTCCCTTTCCTCTAGTGTGTTGTATAGGCTTCTGTGCATGTAAATGTGGGAGGCGGTCGCGTAGTGGGTTAGTGCATTGGTGTTCGGATCAGGGGGTCACAGGTTCAAACCCCACTGCAGTCAGCATGTCATTGTGTCCCTGAGACACTTCACCCCAAAGTGCTCCTGTGGGGATTGCCCACAGTACTGAGTATGTTTGTCGCTCTGGATAAAAGCGTCTAACAAGTAACATGTATTGTATTGTAAATGGTGTGCAAAGGTTACATTCCCTGTATTCCCTCCAGAGTGGGTTTCTCTCCTTCCTACTATTGGTAGGAGTGTGTGTGGCTTCAGCTGTCTGTGTGCCCCTGTGAGATGCATGCATGAGATAAACAAACCCAGTTTTGCATCGCTACAGATGTAAAACTCCACAGGAAACCTTGAGGTTACCATGGAAACGTACCCCTCCAGACTAACCTGCTCCTAATCTGGGCCATGTTGAGGTGCAGCTTCACTTCAGACTGAAATACAGTTTTGTTTTTTTAAGAATGTATCAATTCATAGGACTAGTCAGTTATGATGCGATTAGTGAAGTTGGATTAGATTAGATGTACTTTATTGAACCCAATTTGGAAATGATTTCCTTCAGAGCAGCATGCAATCAAGGCATTGAAATACAAATCAAAATAAATCAGAAAATAAACTGTAAATATATACATATCATCTGGTAGTCAGCTTTATGAAAGTTTAATCTTGGTTGAGTTAAGTTCATTCACACAAACCCTAACATTTCAGCCAAAGAATAATGTTAAAGAGTCCTCTCCTGCTGATGTTCAGGTTCATATTCATATTTAGTCCCTCTACTGGGACATGTCTCCATGCTTTAACGTTCAAAAAGCTTTTTATTTTTCTCATACTGCCTGTGCTGCAGCACCTCTTTTCACCCTCTGTTTGAAACCAGAGCCCAGTCTGCTCTGATTGGCTCTGTTGTGATTGGTCAACCGCTTCGAGATGTCCGCCCCTTAGCCAATCATGCCAATTGAAGCATGGTAGTGATGACACTATGTTACAGAAGTAAATAAAGAAGTCCAATGGAGGGCTTCTTTAATGAGCTAGATGACAATTACATTCTTATCCAATGTTGCCTTCTACCCCCCCAGGAGGAGGAGTCCCCAGAAAGCGGGGATCTGAGGCGGGCAGAGAGCTCCCCCATCCCTCTGAAGAGAGACCGCTCCTTCTCAGAGCACGACTTAGCCCTGCTGCGGGCCGAGATGCTGCCCCCCCTCTCTGACACAGCCCTGCTGGGGGGGGCGGTCCGGCTGCGGGGGGAGAGGCCTCGGTCCAGGACTCTGACCGGGGCCGGGCCACCTCCTACTCACAGAGGTCAGTTACTTTAGAAAATATAACAAGTCCTGACTTCAATAGAGAACGCAAATATAGAGTTTCAAATGTAGTCAGTGTTATTATATCAGCATCAACCCAACCAAGAATCAATTGATATTCAAAGGGATCCAATAAATGAGGAACACGTGAGTCCCTTTAATTACCATTGAGTTATCCATTTAAAAGTATCATGTTGCCATAGCAACACTTGCCGTCAACTTGCCATTACATTTTTGTGGGATTGCTTGAACGAGCTTCATGCATATCAATCAATCAATTAAATTTAAAACTGCTCCATGACTCACTGTGAATTTCATATTGAAAGATGGCAGCTGTATAGTCGGTGAAGAGGCTTCGCTGACATGACCAGGGGGAGAAGGAGCGAAACATCATTTAAATCGATATTTTTCCCAACACTGTGACTTGTCAAACACAATATAAGTACAAGACTTTATAATCCCTGAACTTCAACAGGCGCTCCGGTCCAAACTGTGTGCATCACTTCTGGTTTCTGATGTGTTTTGAGCACATTTGTGTTTTTATATTTACATAGTTTAAAAAGTACAGTGTGTTTCTTCAGATGGAAGTGTTTTGGGTCTTTGTAGAGCATTCCCCTGTCAGCCACCGTAAGAAACTAATGAGAAACATTCAAGAAAAATGCAGTTGATGTTCTGGATATTGTTATTTCAATATTATTCTACACGGCCCTTTTAGCACAAATTGAAACAATGATGAAAACAATTATTTCACTTAATCCATTTATAAAGGGGCATTGAAGTAGGAACTGTAATTGAAAGGCCTTAATATTCAAATAAAAAGTGTGTAAAAAATATAGATCATCATAAATATACACCTGGTGGCACTATTGCGACTAAAATAAGTGTATATTACCTAGTAGTTTTCCTTGCAATAACAACCTGCAGACTGTCGACCCTGTGTGGCAGATGATACAAGCTTGATGCAGTTTAATAATATATTATAATATGTTAAACCCGGGCCCACAACATTGAGTGCATTTACTGTAGATCAGGGGTGTCAAACTCAATTTCAACTCGGGCCACATTAGCATCATGGTTGCACTCAAAGGGCCAGTTTTATATATAAGACTATATAAGAATAAATATATTTATAAATATTTAATATATATAAAATCATTTATTATACAACATTATTTCCTCTGGATTGGATTATTATCGGATAGGTCACTTCATAATTAACTACGGGTGAAAGCAGAAATCTAGGGCAAACAATTGCAAGTCTCTTCAGTGCGCATGTCACAAAATGATTTAAAAATAAAAGCCAAATTCTGGAAAAACTAAAAAAG